ATTATTATTATTATTATTATTATTATTATTATTAAATTTATTCATTAAACATGAAAGTCAACTGAACATTTAAAAATGTGTCACAAATACCATTGATTGGTGCTAATGGTTGATACGGGTTGTTGCCAGCATCTTAGGTATTAACCAAGTATCTTCTTAAAATATATGTTGTTGATATTATTATTACCATTCTTTGGATTATGCCTGACAATCTTCATCAGTCTACTATTTCTCAACTATCATAAATAAGATGATCAACAGTTATATAGTTATTTGTATGATTCCATACCTTGTGTGACATCAGTGATGGTGGTATGTTTAACAAAAGCTACCTGTCCTGCTTCAATCAAGCATCTGAAAAATACAAGCAAAGAAAAGAGTAAGTGGCACATTTCACTCCTTGCCTTGCATAGGTTTGTCATCTGAAAAATTATTCAAAAATAATTAAAAACAAATAGTCCTGCTCTGTTTAATTTGGGATTAAGAAGAATTATAAATAGATGTGAACTGAAAAGGTTCTGCCCACTTTATTATAGTACATTAATTTGATTAGAATTACTTTTTGCATGTTAATATAAAACATAAAATCTTTTAACAGCTACGTATGAAGACAGAATAACATGCTTATATTGTGGAATAATAGTGATCATTATACCACTAGGTGGGGTAGTAATTGCATCTAAAGAGGACTTCCAATATAGCTTCAGTATCAAGGCTTTGCTGGGTGTGTGTGTGTGTGTGTTACAATAGTTGTAATAACAATAAAAAAATGATAATAAGAATGTTCATATGACCCTGTGCAGAGCCTCCACTGACTGATCACAATCAAATTTAAAGGAAGATTCCAGTAAACAGAAATTTGCTTCGAAACCACACTACAGAATCTTGTATCTTCACTGGATTCTCAGCCCTGGGCATTATTTAAAATAATATACCATTTCAGACCAATTATTGTTTAGCAGTTTCATTTCCCCATAATTAAAATTGGGTGGTAGAGTGACAAATTAAGGCAATATTCACTATTGTTTAGAATTGATGCCCTATAAGATTTCCCATGGAAGGATTCAGGAAATGCTTTGGTAATTCTGAAACCTCTAGACCAGTGTTTTTCAACCTTTTTTGTGCAAAGGCACACTTTTTTCATGAAAAAAATCACGAGGCACACCACCATTAGAAAATGTTAAAAAAATTTAACTCTGTGCCTATATTGACTATATATAAAGTAATTTTCCCACGGCACACCTTACACTATGTCACGGCACACTAGTGTGCCGCAGCACAGTGGTTGAAAAACACTGCTCTAGACAAGCTCTTCCTAGATCACCTCACAGTCACATGTTACATTTTCTTCCCCTCCAGTATGCTGACTTGTATGAGCCATCTGAAGCTATTTGTTCTGATAGTTTACTCATTTGTATTCACTATCTTGGTTGATTAGATAGATGATTTGTGGGGATTTTTAATTCCCACAAATATGTAAGAGAATAACAGAATAACAGAGTTGGAAGCAACCTTAGAGGTCTTCCCCTGTTCAGACAGTAAATCCTATCTCATTTCAGACCAATGCTTGTCCAATATCTTCTTAAAAACTTCCAGTATTGGAGCATTCACAACTTCTGGAGGCAAGTTGTTCCACTGATTAATTGTTCTAACTGTCAGGAACTTTCTCCTTAATTCTAGGTTGGTTGATTAGTTTCTTTCCTTGATTAGTTTCCATTCATTGCTTCTTGTCCTGCCTTCAGGTGATTTGGAGAATAGGTTGACCCCCTCTTCTTTGTGGCAACCCTTTAGATACTGGAACACTGCTAGCATGTCACCTCTAGTCCTTAGAAATACCCAAGTCCAGAAACTGTTCTTTATATGCCTCCAGGCCCCTAATCATCTTTGTTGCTCTTCTCTGCACTATTTCTAGAGCCTAAGAAGACATATAACACATGAATTTTATTATAGGCTAACATCTACAGGAATGAATCCTGAAATGGAGGTGGAAAATGAGGAATGATCAACAAGTGTCTTCTCATTTATCTATCATATTCCAAGGAACAGCAACCTACCGAAGAGCACCTGCATACCCATAGTATATTTCATTGCTGTTAGGTTTACATTTGTATTTTTCAGACAGGCCACCTTCATCACCGCTGCCTTTGCACAGTCTGCACAATGAAGACTCAAGAGGTGAACCTGGCGCACAGCTTCCACTGAAGAATGTATCTAGCATGGGATCAGAGAAGAAACATTTCAATACTTTTGTTTATATTCTTATAACATAACATACTCTAATTGGTTGTCTATCTGATATGTTGGATTTCAGTTTGCACAGACCCCAGAAAGCATGATAAGTGCATCAAACTGGGGGGATCTAACTCTAGCAATCCTGTAATTATAATAAAGCTAAGTATTGACAGCTAGATCTTCAAAACCTTAATATTAGTATTGGGAAGCGTGGCCAGCTTAAAAATGACAACTTTAGAATTCTGTCCTTTCAAAATATGTAACTGATTATCACATTATAAATTCAGGAAATACCAACAGCAGAGTTTCTCAAGGTGAACTGATATGAATACACAGAATTTGTTCTCAGTCATATTAGATTAATCAGGAAAAAAAAAACTGTGCTGGTACTTGATACAAATCATTTTCAAAGAAGGATCAGCTCCAATAAAGAGGATCAGTTGCAGAGGTGATAAGATAAATAAAAATTGAAAAATTGAGTTAGGAATAGCTTTCATACTGTTCATTTGCTTTCTGGTATTCCATTTATTCCATAAATTTCAATGCAGTAATCTAATGTTGCAAAATTCCTTTGCACTTCTATATTATCTTAGCAGAATGCTATTTTAAGGACTGACATATACATATCTTAAGAAGCATTTTAACTAGAGGCAGGGCATGCACAATTCCTTATTTAAAAACATTTTGAGTGTGAGTTTTTAATGAAGGTTCACTAAATCTCTAGTGCAAAATGTCCTGTTTTGAGTACTTTGGGGAGAGTCTGAAGCTCAAAATTAAGAAATTTCTCCAAAAATGTGCTCAAGACATTTTAGATCAAACAATTTGATGCCCCTAATGTTTATGTTACTTTATTAAAAAAAAAAACTAAGGAAGAAAAAAGTAGTGATAGTCTCTGAAACATAACAACTAGAAATAGTTTCCATTTATAGCCAATCACTTTTTTCTTTCTTCTTTTTCCATGCAAAATACTTATGGGGTGGGGAGGACACAATTAATGCATAATCCTTTGGTAACCCTTTGGAACCACAGAAGCTGTTGTCCTAGAAGCACCGGTTTCTTTACTGCAGTGTTTCTGAACTTTAGCAGTTTTATGATGCGTGGACTTCCATTCCAGAATTCCTCAGGCAGCATGGTTCAGAAACACTGTTTTACAAGATGGCTGAGGTAGTAGTATAAAAAGCATAAGCAACCAAATGGAAATAAAGCCACTCACCAAGGCTACAATTAAGATTATGTAGAAGGTTAAGGAGACCCATGGGAATATTCCAGCCAGCAGTTCTACCAACACCAGTATGACAGGAGGTCTTTCCTCTCAGATTGTTCCAGTTGATCTCACTATCACTTTTCTTAGCAACAGCTACAGCAATGTAACCTTTAGCTGAAAAATAAGAAGCAGACGCAACATTTCTCCACTGACAATTCAACAGAAGGGAGGCATGGTCCAGTAACTCCTTCACATCTTTTGCAAACATTTAAAGAGAAAAGAGTTCACTTACATATATGAATCCTAAGTATAGGATTCATTTAGTCACCATTCAAAGTTAAAATGGCACTGAAGAAAGTGGGATATGGCCGTATTTCACACAGACGACCGTTGAGGCATCTCCATTGTCACAAGATCAAAACTTAGATGCTTGGCAACTGACTCATGTTTATGACAGTTGCAGTGTCCTTAGAACACGTTATCCCCTTTTGCAACCTTCTGACAAGCAAAGTCAATGGGGAAGCCAGATTCATTTAGCAACCATGTTACTAACTTAACAACTGCAGTGATTCACTTAACAACTGCAGCAGGAAAGGTCATAAAATGGGGCAAAAAACAACTGTCTCAGCAACAGAAATTTTGGGCTCAGCTGTGGTCATAAGTTGAGGACTATCTGTATTTTGTGCAAAAAGAGGAATTTTCGTCAGCGGATTAGGAAGATAGATACAGAATGATTTGACCAAGTTTTAACCAATTTTGTTGTATTTAAGAACAATGACAAATAAAGATTATACTTATATACATATAAATTGACAAAAGTGTAGATGCTTGCAGATCTCTTAAGTGGCAATATGTTCACCATAATTACCTACCTGTTACACCTTTTGTGGGATCGATGCAGGCAGCAGACTCTTCACCTGGAAGAAATAAAAATAAAAATAGGATATGAAGATCTCACTTCAAGCTCAAGCACATTCAATTTTCATCTACCTTTGGACTACAGGGGAGGTATCTTGTACACATAGACCTAAAAACAGATAATGTCAAGCATATTGGCAAAATAAAGGACACTATTATGGAGTGCAAGATAACTGAACTCAAGACATAATATGTATGATCCAGGACTGATGACACTGGTGAACACAAAGATGGACTCAATTTCTATCCACCCCCTTACAATTTTGCAATGGCCATGCATATTGCTCTTTGGGAATGAGATAAAAGTATTAGATCACTTGGTGAGCATGATAATGAAAAGGAGGAAAAATCATGCTTCAGCTATGATCCAAGTAGAGTAGTGAGGAATGAGGTGGCTTGAAACAGATTTTTCTCCCTTCAGATCAGATGCCAGAACACTTAAGTTTTTCTTAATTTAAAGCGCAGAGTTAGAAGTCATTTTCATTTACATAATTGTGGATATACTTTTGATGACAGGGAGATTATTTCTGAAGACTATCTGCTGGGAGACTCTGTTATGCAGTTGGATGACTGCTAGGAGACAATCTACTGCAGGGGTGTCAAACTCAAGGTCCGGGGACAGGATCTAGCCCATGGGCTGCTTAGATCTGGCCTGTGGGGGCACCCTGGAAACAGCAAAGGACCGGTCTCCGGTGCCTCTGCAAGCAAAAATGGAGCTTGGGAGGGCCCTCCCGAGCTCAGTTTTCACTGGCAGAGGATTGCACAAAGCTGTCACAGCCGAAAGCAGCGCTTGGGAGCCTGTTTTCGCTGGCAGAGTGCTTGGGCCATCACAGGCACCCCCGACATGAGTGATGTTGAGCTGGCCATGCCCACCCTGGCCACATTCACCCCAGCCCTCCAAGGTCAAACACAACCCTGATGCGGCCCTTAATGAAATCAAATTTGACACCCCGATCTACTGGAATAAATGAGCCAGAGTCCTATATAGCAGGTCACTTCTTATGTGCTTACAACAGCTACTGATCTACTGAGTTCATACTTACGAGGGATTTCTGTCAATATTGGGACAAGGCCACATTTTCCTGCAGTGTAGATATGTCCTCCATCCAAGGTAATGGCATCAGCTTCTCTTTTCTGCAAAGACCAATGTATTTTCTATCAGCAAACACATTTCCTAATATGTGTCTTTACATGGTTAAAATGAATCATTCAAGCTCAGCAGGGATCCCCAGGTTTACATTGTGTGTGGGGGGATTCCACCAATATTTTGAATAACCAATTTTGTCTGAGCACACTCTATGGGACAGAGAGGTGATTGACCACAGATGGAACAAAACTGAAAATCATGGGCAGGGAAACAAGTATCTTATCAAAAGGTGTATTTGACAGGGCAGTATTAAGCAAGTGTGCACTCAGCTCTGCCTATTGCAATTTCTATATTTTTAAAACTAGGAGAAGGAAAAAATGAATCATCATCATCTTGTTTCCTGCTGTTGGGTTTTTGGGTTTGTAGAACTATAGCAGTCCCCTTACATTTTTCTCCAAAAGAGTAGAGAGAGGTTACGACAGAAGAGTCAAGGTAAATCCAACATTTTCAGGATCTAATCCATAGAACTCAAGCTATAGAAATGCAAAAATTTCCAAACAGAACATAGTGGAAGAAATAATACGAAGAATATTGACCTAACTGAATAACAATAAATGGATGTACTGTCTCATGCTATGGAAGGATATCTTATGTTCACTTTGGGATTTAAATATGTTAGGGACCAACTGATATCACTGAAGAAATAAAATACAAAGAGGACAGGTTACAATTCCAGTAAAAATAAAATAAGGGGAGAAAAATAATGGAGAGATGCTTCAAATGGAGGAAATAAAAGTTAAACAGACCACTGAATATGTTCCCTGGGGAAAAAATGGCACTGGTATTTAGGGTAGAAATATCCCAATAGGTGCAGAGGTAAATCATGAACAGAAGCATCAGCTGTCCTCACACTGGTACTTCTTAACTATTTCAATCATTCCCAGCTTAGAAAAATAGGGATGGGAAGCACCACACTACGCACTCAGTGCATTGTTGTAGAGGCTATTGCCCAGTATGAAAGACTCATAACATGGGATTCCTTGGATATATTCAATTAACATGTACTAGCAAAATCACAAACTTCTTGTTTATTTTACTAGTGTCTTTTTCATGGATGGCATCTAGTATCCTGGTTTTTTTAAAATATTTTTTCAACTAAAGTGCCTGGACTTGGTCACTATTTTCATGTGAAAAGGTATGTGGAAACTTTAAACACTTACTATGATCTTGATAAGGCAATCTTCTGTTTTGTCTGCAACAGCACATTCAACGGCACCATTGCTCTGTGCACTCCACGTATCACATTTATCCTTTTCAGCCTTGCCCACTGCACACCACACAATTCTTTCTGTGGTATCAGGCTCTGGATCAGATCTCTCTAAAGGACAAGAAATACTTCGGTTAACCAAGTATTCAGATTCCTCAGAATATTGCAAACTGCTGAAATTGCTGGTAAACAGAGACCACCAATGTCCACTGTAAGCTTCAGTGCACCATCTTTATATTCTAGACTCAAAGAGGGTGGAATGGAGCAACTTCCTGCAGCCAATTCACCACATCAACTCGCCACAGAGGGACGGACTGCATTGAGAGGGAAACTTTTTGCCAGGGCTGCCGGCACTCCTAATAAAGGAATCTTTAACTTCAGGGAGTTTGTTGTGTTTGGGAGCTGGGTCAGAACATCTACACCAGTGTTTCTCAACCTTGGCGACTTTAAGTCCTGTGGACTTCAACTCCCAGAATCCCCCAGCCAGCGTAGCTGGCTGGGGAATTCTGGGAGTTGAATTCCACAGGACTTAAAGTCACCAAGGTTGAGAAACACTGATCTACACTGACTTTTGCTCCCCCATCCTATTGCTTATGGTTTGCTATTATTACCCTTTTTATTACTTCAGTGCTCAGCTAGCCAAACAGAGTAAAATATGAGTCTTAGCCACAAACAAGTTGGAACTAATCCTGTTATAACATGGGTGTAGCCAAAGCATAAAAGTTTCTACTTTGACAAAAGTTTGACATTTTTCCCATCACAGAGATTTTTAGAAGCAGTCAACAGACTGAACTGCAATTAAGCTTGTATTGCTGATAGCAAGTGAACCAATTATTATTTTTTAACAGTTTTCTAATGCCTTATTTTCAATGCCTGGTATTCATCACTGTGACTTCATAATGCATAACAAGTCCTGCCCTGTTTACCTCTTTTGAGAGCATGTATTGCAGCACAGTACTTAGGACCTAGGTAAAGTTCAGCATCTGCTTGTTTAGGCACTGGAGTGAGACCAACTGCGCTATCCTTAAACAGGAGATCTTTGCCAGAGTCCTGAGAAGATTTAAAAAGTTGGCATCTTGGTTGCTTTTGCTTCATCTGTTCCTAAAATAAGAGAAAAATGAATGGAAGAAGAATGAGATGAGATGGAATATGAAAATTAATGGAATATTTATTTTATTTATTCAATCTGTATAGCTGTCCGTCTCACTATTACATGGCTTGCAATAAAACAAAAACACAGAATACATACTATAAAAACAAAATAAAAAACCCATAGCAGCTGGGCATGATCCAACTTCATCCATAAAACCAGGAGATGGACTTTAATCCACACTCAGTGCCCCAGACTCAAGCACAAAGCCAAGTTTTCAAGACCTCAAGAAAGATCAACAGGTCGATTTAATCTCAGAGGTGATGATGCGCTAAAGGATAGATGCCAGACAACACTTCCTATCTCATAGCACTCGAAGCGTACTCTTTCTGTCAAATCATATAGGACTGACAGAGACAATTGGGAAAAGATGGTACTGCATATAGCTCAGCCCAAAGTCACAAAGGATTTTAAATTGATAACCAGCACTTTGAATTTCACGCAAAAATGTATCAGATGCGAATGCGGTTTACGGAGCACTGGTGTTACATGTGCCAAGTAACTGATACCACTAACTGTCTTCATCGCCATATTTTGCACCAGTTAAAGCTTTCAAATACTCTTCAAGCTCAGCCCCACATAAAGTGCATTACAATAGTCCATTACTGGGGATCACAAGGGCATGAGTGACTGTGAGCAAGGCCTCTCCCACCCTTTGAGAGAACAGAGAGAAATTAGGAAGAACAAAGAATCTTGAATAATGAAACTGCATGAAAAATTCAGGAGCTACATTGCAGATAGGAAGTTTGGGAGAAGACTACTGCAATGTGAACAAACTCAGAATTAAATTCAGAACTTTTTTTTTCTAAACTAGAGCCTGAAATTTGAAACAGGAAAGATAATAGTAGCAATTTTGGCTTTATCTTAACCAAAATATTCTGTGAGTCACCTACCCCTCTTTCCTAGCATATGGTTCTATTCCAATTCTCTTCATTCAAATGAATAAAGGAAAGACCAGGAACCACTATCAGGAGTCAAAAATATCAATTGATTTTTTCTTCCTCCATTTTATTTTCCAATTTCTCTTTCCTTGGTAGCTTTAATGTTTCAATTATTTACCACCTTCATTTTATCTGAACAATCCTCCACACAATACTATTATTGTTCAAATATGACTCTGTCTTATTCATGAAATGTTATGGGAGAGAGGAGTTCAGATGATGAAAACTTTCACCTGTAACTCTTCCATATTTTCTCACAATTTAATTCATTTACAAAAAGCAAATGGAATCCATGCACTGTCCTTTATCTGAAACCTTTAAAACATTCAGACTTCTTTGGGTAAATCTGCTTGGGAATTTGAGCATAATTTTGACTTGGCAGCAGTTTATTGCCTTTCCCTTTAAAGGGTAGTGGCAAAATTGTTGTTTTTAGCCTTTAGTATGAAGAGCGAAAATTTAAACTCATTGTCTATTTGGGTGATTTCTTTGCATGTAGCAACATAAAATATGAGTTCCTTCATGAAACTATCACAATGATCTCATTAATATTTTTACTAATGGGTCAGGCAAAATTTCAATTATATGAAAATTATGAACCATTGCCCAAGTGGCACAGTGCTGTCAGCCAAAAGAACTTATGTTTTCTATCTGTGTCACAATACCATGTCAGGAACAATGTAAATGAATATTTCTTTGTTCTTTTTAAAATGAACTTTGTAGTATACAAATCAGTCAAAACAGCTTTATTTGTGGCATTTCCTTTTCAAGTTAGCATTTTCCTACTTTTAGTACTTCATCTTCTTCTTCTTCTTTTAGTACTTCATAAAATTTGAATTGAGATGTTTGTGATATTTATTTTTAATCTGTTTTATAAAAAAAAGAAAAACTTGATAAATACCAGTGCATAGGAAAGGAGTTTCCAGATTTTAACTGCCGAATCATCAGGTCGTGCTACCACAGCATGAGCTGACACTCTAGCCCAGTGACAGGATTCATATTCTTCAATAGGCTTTCTGGTGCCATCAAGACAAAGTAATTCATACTTGCTTCTTTCTTCTGCACTGTCAGCTGTGAAGAATAAAGGCAACAGTGAGTGTATGTAAGAAAACAAACTGACAACTGTCTGCTTCAGGCAGCAACTAGGGTCTCAGCTGAACTGCCCATCAGGAAACCTCCAAGCTCTCTCTGGAATTCCACCGGGTTCACTCAATCTCCTAGGACAGGTGACTTGAACGGTCCCTGCCTCTCTTGCATATTTAATGCAATACCGTTTTTTTTCTCAATTGCAGGCCATCATACAATATCATAAACAGGTTTTGAAATTCCTGTTTCGAAATCAGTTTGTTACATACTCTTGTAAGACTGTTGTTTGGGAAATTTCCACATTTAATGTGCTTGGTACACTTCGCTTAAAAGCATGTACAGAGCTATTATTTGTATAGATTTCACAGATCTCCAAAAATAGGTAAGCATAAGTACACCTCAAGCTTGCTCTGGAACCCCACTAGAAAACTGGTGTTGAGGACCCAATAGATGAGTACTTGATTAAATGAAACGCCTCTGCAAATAATCATAGGTTTAAGCACTTTTTGGTATTTCAATTTACAGATTAGCATTTTCCCAGATTCATACCTAATACGACTGCCTCATTCACAAAAGCCACATGTCCAGCTCCAGATTTCAGGCACCTTATGAAAAAAAGGATAAAATATTAGGAAGGGGTGGTGGTTAAGTATTATATTTATTGCATATTGTATGATGCTATCACCAACATTTCTGCTTTTTCAACTGAATAGAAACCATCTACGCAAACTGCCCGAATATGGCTATCCAAAGCCAATGAAGCACTGGCTTGTGGCACCAAAATTTAGGGTGCACCAATACTACTCTTATTCCAAAAACAGAGGCAATTCTAAAAATACAAATCTGTACATTGATGGGAGGTAGCACCATCAGTCAATATGACCTAGGGGCACCACATATCCTCAAACTAGCACTGCAGATACCATAGGTTAATTATTGTTTCTTACCAAGAAAATAAATAAATGTGAACTGAATAGAGAACTTTTACAGGGAATGAATAGTGAGAATATGGAAGAACAATTAAGGCAAGACAACTCATGTCTCTCTGGTTAAGTAATTTGTTGATTTTTAGCCCAATATCGTTCAAACAGACTGGCAGCAGCTCTTTAGGCTCTTGGACAAAACATTTTGCCATCAGTGAAAACCAGAACTCTACCTAGTTGAAGATCCTGAAACCTTTGGTAAATAAGATAAGAAATGAACTACTGAATTGTAACTAATCTTGCTACAATTAGTCCTTAATTTACGACGACAATTGAGGTGAAAATTTCTGTTGCTAAGCGAGACAGTGAGTTTTGCCCCCCATTTTACAACCTTTCCTGTCACAGTAGTTAAGTGAATCACTGCAGTTGTTAAATTAGTAACATAGTTGTTAAGTGACTCTGGCTTCCCCATTGACTTTGTCACTGTAATGGCTGTCCTGGGCATTTCCCTGGACAAGTCTCTGGATGCTAGGTGAGATGAGGAAGAGCTGGGTCTAGAGGCCTTGTGCGGGGGACATGGAGGAATATCCAGAGGTTGCCGGAAGCGCTGAGCCAGGAATGGCGAGGTCGAGCACTGCGGAGTTATCATAGGAGGAGTGACAAGATGAGCAGCTGGCTGAGCTATTCAACCACAGTTTTTTTAAAATTTCTTTAAAAGTGCTTTGATTCTTCTAGCCTTAAGTGACATTTCTGTGTTCATTATGCAAAGCAGCACAGTGAATTCAGCAGTTCTTTTGGTCTGTGTGCAAATCTCACAGAATTCAGTTCCCAATGGGAGCTAAGAGCAACTGGAGATTTTTCAGTGTTGGAGGGGGAGGTGTTAAGTCTTCGGACTTCCAACCTGGGCTAAGCCGAGGTAACACCAGACACCAAGTTGAACCATTTATTAACAAGCTAGCATTGAACTACGACAGACGCACAAGAGGCCGTCTGACGGCTATTTGTAAAATCGCTATCGGGTGGCCAGCCAATCCGCGGCTATGTTTAGCTGGAACCAATCAGTGAAACTCGGCTTAGCCCAGGTCAGAAGTCTGAGGACTTAACAGGAAAGTATTCCTTGATTACAATCATTTGCTTAGTATCCATTTGAAGTTACAACAGCACTGAAAAAAGTGACTTATGACAGTTTTTCACATGACCATTGCTGCATTCACATGATCACATGATCAAATTCAGATGCTTGGCAACTGGCATGTAATTATGACATTTCCAGTGTCCCAGGTTCATGTGATCACTTTTTGCGACCTATTGACAAGCAAAGTCATTGGAAAAGCCAGATCCAGTTAACAAACATGTTACAGGCTTAACAACTGCAGCAATTCACTTAATGATTGTGGCAAGAAGGGTTGTAAAATGAGGCAAAATTCTCTTAACAATTTCCATTGCTTACTTTTGGTTAAATTGTGGTCATACATCGAGGAATACCTGTGTACGAATGCTAAAGGAATTTGCATACCATCTAAGAGGGAAGTGGAACAAGAAAATTGTAATTATCTGACATAAAGGTCAGAAGTCGTTCACATATTTAACTTTAATTTTTTTTCTTTCTTTTTCATTTCTGTACTTTCTTATTTCCTTTTCCTTTTCTTTCTTTTTTCTTTCAAATTGTCTTTTATTCTATTAAAAAAATCTTTTATTCTATGTGAATAGAATGTGAATTTTAAAAAGTTGAACTTAATTGGAGGGCATGTTCCCTTATAAAATATATTTCGGATGTAGTTATAGAAGCGTGATAAAAGCTTATTGTGGCTTATGGGGAAAAGCATGTGTCACTTACTGATAGGCTCCTGAATATCCAACAAAAGGATCATTCCAGTCACAGTTTCCACGGCAAGCACGGCACAGTTTTGGTGCATTTTTGACACCTGGGGCACAACCACCTGCAAAGAATTTCTCCACAGCTGAAAAAGAAATCAGATGGGTAAGTCTTTGACAGTCCTTTATTAGTAGGATAAAGTACTAGATATGATTAAATTGCATTCTTCAAGTTTGGTTCAGAATTGGATCGACCATATTGTGCCTCACATGGCATGCTTGAAGTTTTATTATATTCAAGAGTAAGAGGGGCATCTTTTCCTTCGAAGGAAGTAGTTGGTAAACAAATAAGAGGATTCCAGATTTCCCTGTGATGTCAAAGATTTGCTGGATCATAAATTTCACAATATGTTACTTATGGACAGCAGCTGCATATCATTTGAGAAAGTATGGTCCCTACAAGGTTATATAAGTAGACACACTTCTTAGATCCTGCTCCATAACTGCATAAGGCAATAAAAATGTAAGGCAATTAAAATATTGTTTTATATATGGAACATTTTACTGTAGCTGTGTTTATATGAAAAGAATATACGGAGAAGCAAAGGGGGAAAAAAGAAAAGACAAAGAAATATTCATATTCTAAAATGCACATAGACATCACACAGTTTTCTTTTGGAGTAAGCAACTTGTGTAGAGTACAAAAAAGAGGGTAATAAATAATATACCAAAGAAATTAAATACATAAGCTAAAGTATGTATGTAAAACCATTTTATATTCATACCATTCTTTCAACCTTTCCATATAGCCATATATTTCTATCCTTGCAAACTACTCTTTCTTTATCACACTTATCACTACTTCATGTGTTGGTTTTTATTTTGGAGAATTAGAAAGATTATACACAAACCCTCGACTTCATGATATCACATGATAATTCACATGGACCGTACCCTTTTATAAAGTTTTAATACTTATTCTCTGACTTATTCTCTAATATCTTGACTATTCTTTTCTGCTCTGATCATCAGAGCATGATCATTTGACTTTATTTATTACCATTTCTTCATTTCCAGTTCCTTCTGCAATATAATTTATTTCAGATAATTCTGTCCAGGATAAATAATGTGTTAATGAAAGTATTGCCCTTACTGAGAAGCTTTTTGCAATTTCATACATTTAAGCACTATGCTTTCTCTAAAATTATTTCAATTATGAATACAACCAGAAAATCTCTGAAGAATTGTTAAAAAAAAAAGACTAGTTTGACCAGGAATACAGGCTTATGATATAAGCTTGCAAAACATCAAACTAGAGTTAAAGGAAATAGGACTGAAACTTTAGTTCCATTTTTGATATAATTCTATTCTCAATATGAGTACTTGCTAAAAGCCCCCCAAAAACCCTGATATTACAAGAACTAATAGAGAGAGAAATGAATTTCCACATTGTACAAAAAAAAATACAGAAGGTTTTGGTATCAGTTGTATATATGCGTGCAATCCCACCACAGTTGCCCATATTCCACACTGAGATACATTCTACTCTTTCTTGGCCATCTACAATAGTTCCCAACATGAATTAATCCAAAAATACCCACTACCGAAATTAGTTTTATTTCCAGAGTGGCCTACACACTCAGCTTGAAAATGCTGATTGAAGCCATGACATTAGGGAAACCTTCTGTGCTTGTGAAGTGAATATTCATTGTTCATCCCCGCCTCCTTTTTCCCCCTAGTTTTTTTCAAAAATTTATCAGGGTTGTTGTTTTGGGGAGAATGGGAGATGGAATGTGTGTAGGATATATTCTCTACCTTGAGTTATTTGTAAAAATAATAGCCATGCATATAGATGATAAATAGAGAAATAGAGCTGTAGAGATTTTTCTTACCCTTTTCTACAGGTTCTGATTCTATTCCACCCCACTGAATTTGACCATTAGACACAAGAGTTCCTATTGGGATATTCCAGCCTGCAGATCTTCCATAACCAGTGTGACAAGATATCTTTCCTTTGAGGTCCTCAAGTGAAGTAATAGTTCCTTTCTTCACAACAGCAATGGCATGATAACTAGTAGTAGTTACTGATAAGTAGAGAAGGAAAAATCAAATCTAGGTTATAGCTAGAGTCTCTGTCTATTTCCAACAAAATTGTTTAAGAAACAATTTGTAGCAAAGTGAACAAACTTCATTATCATGTCATATCCGTACACTATAGAGGAAACAGCTGGCTATATTAAGCAAAATATATATTTAGGAGTGGGCTTGCCAGTGTGCTTCTATTATAATTGCTTCTAATGTTAACGGTCTGAAACTCTTTGTATGAATGAATTAAATAAATTAAAGACTAAAGTACCTTGATTGTGTTAAGGTGAAATTGATTACAGCAAATGTAAAACACAAATGTATCATGAAATGGAGGAAATACAGGCTTTCTCTTTTGATCAGTCCAGAGGACTTCACCAGTTTGGGGCTCTGGTAAATATGATCCAAAGAAAACATCAGTCCACCATCATAACTAAAGGAGAGGAAGGAGTTAAAATTCTGAAAGGGGATTTCTGAAACTGGCTTGGTTTCCAGACTCTGGCAGCCTAATGCTGAAGAGCAGAAAAACCCTGAGCATGTGAAATTATCCTAACACTGCGTCCCTGAATCACAAATACAAAACTCATCTTAAATATATCTGGAGCCTCCAGGAGTCAATACCAAGAAAGGGCATTGCAGTATTTCTCAAACTTGACAACTTGAAAATATATGGGCTTCAACTCCCAGAATTCCCAGGCCTGACTGGAGAATTCTAGGAATTAAGTTCATCTTCAAGTTGCCAAGTTTGACTGGACTGGAATAATAAACCTGGCATGCAGCAAATCCGCAAATCCAGTCCTGTGTGAATTTTCAAGTGGATTTTGCATGGTGAGCTATAACAACCCACACATCTAGTTTAATTCATATCAGCAACTTTATCTTTAATTCGTTATCAAATCTATAAGGCCACTCATTGATTCTACAAAACTGTGATTGGTAAATGCCAGCAATAAATGGTAAAAATCCAAGCCAAAGTCCTCTTATTAAAAGCATAAAACATCTATGCTATATGTCTACCCCAAAGCTCCAAAATTAATAGTCTGTCCCAAATATCTGGCTGAAGAGCCAAGTTTTCATGGCTTTCTGAAAGGCAGTATGGTTGGAGATATCCATACTCTGGGCAGGTCCCATGACAGAGAAGGGCTCATATCACCTCCCCTGCCAATGAGCAACCATTGAATGAATTATGCAGCCTCTTTGTATTTTCAGGTCAATCCTATCAACTTTACCTCTTGGGCCTTTTGAATGAAGTTCAGCTATAACAGGCTTTAGAAAATAAGGGTTCAAGCTTGCTTCTAAAATAAGACCAGCATCTAAAGTGATGGCATCTGCATCTGAGTTCTAAAAAAACATAAAAGTAGGATAATAAGGAGAAAATATTTCTTTGGCATAAAATATTTCATGAATGCATGACAGTTATATCTCCCTGTTTCTTCCTAGATCTGGAAATTAACATGACTTTCTTTTCTTTCAAAACATATTTGCCATGAAGAGTGATCATGCTATCTTGAACAGAGAACTGGGCTTCTCGTCAGTTGATTCTTAAGCTGACTTCTATCCAAAGTCAGGAGCATCCACAGAGGAGATCAAGAAAATTAAAATTAAGCTACAACTTAAGCCTGGCCTCTTCATTATATGTTGAAGAGAAAGGAAGGGAAGGGAAGGGAGGATTTAATCACATGATCATGGTAGTCTTTTGACTATTTAGAGCAGGGATCTCCAACCCCCAGCTTGCGGCCCACTACCGGGCCATGGCCTATTCGGAATTGGTCCATATGAATGGCTGATTGGAGTATATACATGCATGCAGCTCAACTTGCACAAGTGACAGGTCAGTTGGCAATTGCATGCATGTGTGCCAGACTGCCGCTCACATATGTTGAGCTGTATATACACACCTTGGCCCACTGCTTGTGCGGCCCAGTTCCCTCCTTCCTCCCCAGCTTGGCTGCAAAGGTTGGGGAACACTGATTTAGACAATCCTCTGCAGATTCCCTGTGGTCAGCATTTCATTGATCTAATACAGAGGTCCCCAATCCCCCAACTCCCAGTCCATGGACAGGCATGCCAGAAACCGGGCCAAATGAAACCCCATCCACGGGATGCAGACAGTATGCAAAACCATGGCCCCTGTGGTCCACAGAAAAACCTCTCTCCATGGAACTGGTCCTTTTTTGCCCAAAAGGTTGGGGGTCTCTGATCTAATACATAAAATATGCAAGCAATGAATGACTGTTCTGAAATCTGAAAATTTAATGAATGGACAAAAAATATTTTATACTGATTGCATCATTTCAGGCTATGTCAATTTTCCCATCATCCAAGCATATTTTTCAAAATTCTGCTTCCATGTATGAGATTCTATTTTCTACAGTACTTGCTCCTGTTTTATTTCTATCTGGAACCTTCCAAATCAATCTTTCTTTGAAGGGAAATAAAAAAAATTAAGCTGTTTGAACAAAGAACTCAGGAAGTTTCCCAGCTTCCCTATCCAGCCATGAGCAGTCACTTACTTTAATAGCTGTTATGCACTCCTGGTGATCAGTCTTCTTCACACAAATCAGTTCTGGAAAATCCTTGGACTGTTGCTGGGCAAAGCATTCCTGCTTAAGCCTTTGGCATTTTTCCTGCTCTTCATTGGATACTGTGCACCATCTTACGGAAGAAGTTGCAAGACACAGAGCTATGAAAAGAATGAAAAGGGTGCAGATAATGTTAATATCACAGATCTTAAGCAAGGATTGATAGAGTTGCCTGGTTGAAGCTTTTTCTACATATGAAATCAGATCAAAAGGGTTACTGAACTGAAGTGGACTGAATTTATTTTCATTAACTGTAGGGATGGTGTTTTGCATCTCTCAGACATGAATATCTGGACTTGCATTTGGGTTGCCACTTATCGAACAATGTCACCTGTTATTTAGAATCAATGTTTATATGCAAGATTAACTATATTACTAATTTCATAGAATGAGAAGCAGCACAGCTTTTGTACATAGAAATGTATCTTTTCTAAAAGGTAGTTCTCGGTTTGAAGATTTGTCAGCAGACATTCCTAAAATCCAGGTAAATCCAATTTCAGTTTAAGATCACATAGGAAGAGGAGACAGAGAAAGAAAGTTAATAAATGAAATTAACTAGAAATAAAATTGTGGATACTGACTATCTAAACAGATAACATTACAATTACATCATTATTATAAAAAGTGATAATCTGTCAAGGTGATTAGCATGCTAAGTTATAGAAAAATTGCACTTTTTAACAATATATTATAGGTCAATTACTGAGAAAATTTTTATAGTTTGCAAAATAAATTAGAAAATGTGTTTGGGCTTCAAGAAGGAATATGACACAGTCATTAAAGCAATTTAAATGCAATTGAAGACAGACCAAAAACTTTCCAAAGAGTAAAACTGGCAGCCAAACATTAGAAAACAACAAATACTGAACAGAATGTTCCTATTATCACATAGAAACTAATCAGTGAAGAAGATAATCTAAACTCCTTGGAGTTTAGATCCTCATGCTGCTACAGAAAAGGCTGTCACGCATTTTCATCTAAATTCTCAATTCAGGGGGTCTCCAACCCCAGGGCCCACTACCAGGCCATGGCCTATTTACAACCAGACTGTGTGAGTGGAGGGCCGGTTTGCACATGCGCATTCCACTCAACTTGCAAAAGTTGACCTGTACATGCATGTGTGTGCGCACCAGCGTGCCGCTCACACAATTTGAGCTGCTCATGCAAACGCACCGGCTGCTGCTCAAGGGGCCCTGCTCCCTTCCTCCGCCTGCGGGGCCACCAAGCCACAAAGGTTGGAGACCACTGCTCTAATTGATGAGACCTGTAACAGGGATTCATACCAAGATCCATGGCAGGTGCATAAGTAAGCATGTGGCTTTTTCACTATCCTGGCCCTAAACAATTAAGGACTTTATGTTAAGAACCAGTATATTAAAACTAGACCCAGAAATGCATTTGATGCCTGTTCAACTAATATAGGATAAATTTGAAATAGTCTATAAAGGGAATAGCAACAGACAAATTGGCTGCACTCTTTTGTACAGTTTTATCAAATGACCATCAACAATCTCTCTTGTTTGTCTATTTATTTTTGTTTGTTTGCTTATCAAATTTTCTGATTGATCAACTCTGTCTCAGAGTGACTCTGGGCATGTCAGGATTTTACTTGCTGATCAAAATACCTTGATGTAATCAAGATATCAATTCTGGATTCCCCCCTCCCATCATTTCTTAAATAGCAATAGCACTTACTTATATACAACCTCATAGTGCATTACAGCCTGTCTAAGTGGTTTACAGAGTCAGCATATTGCCCCCAACAATCTGGATCCTCATTTTACCAACCTCGAAAAAATGGAAGGCTGAGTCAACCTTGAGTTGATGAGGATTAAACCCTTGACAGTCAGCAGAATTAACCTGCAATACTGCATTCTAATCACTGTGTCACCACAGCTCCCAAATAGTGGTGGTGCCTCTGCACGAGCTCTAGCCTTGTAGAAATATTTAAAAGGAACTAGATAACTCATGATACATTGGATCATCATTTCAGATATTTTTCCATACATAACAAAGAAATAGAATGATAGGGCTGGGCAAAAATGCAGTTTGATCAGAACCAGCTTCTGACTTCCAGTCATCTTCCTCGTTGACTTTTCTTGTAGTAAACTGGCAGGGAATGTTGGAAATTCTGATCAAGTGACCCTGGCTGACTATAGTGAAATGGCAGTACAACAGCATTAAAGTGGCCATAACTTTGTCAAATTCCAATCCCACTTAGTCATGGGTTCTGGATTTTGGCCACTTTCTGTAAGTTAGCCCATATGAGGTACGTTGATTGAAGAATTTTTGCCTTATGATGTATCATTTCACCCAATTGAAGATTACAAACTATCAAACAGACACAATCCTTTTAGATAAACATAGATTTTTTTTAGCAATTCACTCTACTTGATTTTAATAGTGATGCTTATGGCAAAATAAGCTCAATTGCAAACACAAAAGAAGACACAAACAAAAGCAAGAACAAAAAAAAGTTCCTGGTTGTTTTTTTTAATGTACAGATAATTTAGACTTCAAATATGTTCTCTAGATATTCTACAATTCCACTAGACTCAGCTAAATTGATCAATAGCAAATGATGAGCCAGTCTGGTGTAGTGGTTAAGGCATCAAGCTAAAAAATTGAATTCTACTCTTGCCTTAGGCATGAAGCCAACTGTCTCTCAGCTGTAGGAGGGAGGCAGTAGCAAATCACATCTGAAAAATTGCCAAGAAAACTGCAGAGACTAGTCCATGCAGTCACCAGCAGTCAAAAATTGACCTAAAAGCGTACACCTACCTAAAGGATTATAAATAAGGGTGTAGTCTAAAACATTTCAATGATCCCTGGTGACCTATTTCTGATTTAGATTATTGTAATACATTCACAAAGTTTACGAGCTGTAGCTAGATGAATATTAGATTATGATCTTGCCTGGTAGAGTTTCTTTATGCAGTGTACTGTTCAACAACTTGCCCATCAAGTTCTTCAACCAACTTTCAGAAAAATCTATTCCAAGTTATGTACTGTGTTCCTAGGATAATGGAAAGCTAACACTATTTACAGCAATTTCACTATCTGTTTGGAAGTAGAGCCATGTCAACTGGACTTCTTTTCTTTCTTTGTCTGAAACATTTCCCTGCTTATCCAAGTAGCTTTTTCAGTCTTAAAAGACTTCTTCAGACTGAAAAAAGCTACTTGGATAAGCAGTGAAACATTTCAAACAAACAAAGAAAAAAGTTCAGTTGCCTTGACTCAAATTCCAGACAACTCTACCTGGATGACTGAGAATCTTCATAAACATATTCACTATTTATTATGTTTTTTACTAATATAGGGTCATTACATTTGCATATTAATCTATTGCCTATTTGTTGTTATTCAGTCTCTGCTGAATTACAGCTGTATTGCAGCAATTCATTTTAACATTGTACCAGACATCACATGTCAACTCATGACATGAAGTAAGTGAGCCGAGGGTGGCGCAGTGGTTAAATGCAGCACTGCAGGCTACTTCAGCTGACTGCAGTTCTGCAGTTC